GCTGCACCATGCTCTCAGCCTGGATCGAAGTGCCCCCTCTGGGTGATCCTTGGTCCTGGCACAGTATGGGGCCTGGAGGCACCTTGAACTCACAGTGCTATGTGTGGGTTCACCTTTTATGAGAAAACAAAGAAACTTTTTTTGAGACAGGCTGGCCTCGAACTCGTGGGTATCCTCCTGCCTCAGCCTCCTGAGTAGCGGAGATTCAGATGTGCACCTCTGCACCCAGCTTGGGATGATTATTTTTACCCCACCAGTCAGATGAGGAAACTTGAGTTTCAAAGTGGGGAGCAGATCAGAATGCTCAGGCTTTGTCCCGATGAGTGCAAAGGCACCTCTCTGTGGAGCATTTCTCCATCATGGAAATGGGCTAGGGGCAACCCCTGTGCCATGGGACAGGGCCTGATGGGGGCACAGAAGCTCAGCCAGTGGACTCTTCGGGACTCAGGAGGACCGCAAGGGGCTGGGAAGAAAATGGGCCTGCCGTGGTGGGCACGCCTGTAATCCCAGCTGTTGGGAGCCTGAGGCAGGAGGTTTGAAAGTTCCAGGCCAGCCTGGGCAACTTAGTGAGACCTTGTATCAAAATAAAATTTTAAAAAGGGCTGGAGGTGTAGCTCAGCTGCAGAGCACTCTTCTCGAATGCATGATGTCCTGGTTCAATCCCTGACACCACGATTAATACATAAATAAGAAGGGGTTGGATTTGGGGTTTGCAGGGCTCGGAGCAGCCTCTCCCGGCTGTGCACCCCGAGGCCTGGCTCCTTCCCGGACGGCAGGGGGAAGCTTTCTGCCTCAGCACCCCCCACCCCACGCTGGTGGACGCTGCATTTCGCTCCCTCCTGTCCCCCTAGTGCAGCCCTCAGACCCTTTGGGATCTGCTTTGGGCCACTTCCCTTTACATACAGGGAAACTGAGGCCAGACAGGAGACTGAGGTGCAGGCCCCTGGAAACCGGGCCCCATGGGAGACCCACACTGCCTTCCCTGCAGGCAACCGCCCTTCCTAGGCTTGGCTGGGGCCAGGAGGTGTGGTCCCCCCTTCCCTGGTAAGCTCAGCTGGTGGCACCTGAAGAAAGGCAAAGAGAGCCAAAGCAGGACCCTGCTGACCTGTGACCCCCAGCCTAGAGTATGAGGGCACTGGCGGGGAGGCGGAGGTGACCACATGGGGGTGTGGGCAGCTGCCAGGTGGGGGACAGAGGTGGGGGCCGAGAAGAGGCAGATGTGGGGGAGCCCGGATTGAGGGGAGTAGGGTTTCGACCCCCAAGAAGCTTGCAGGGCAGAGGGCTGAGCACAGGGAGGCTTGTCTGCATCTAGCTGCCCGGCTGGAGGGAGGAGGAGCAGTAGTCAGGGTGTCTGGAGGGATGGGAATGTCAGGGTTAGTAAGAGGGATCAGCTGGGCGTAGTGACACACCTATCATCCCAGCACTCGGGAGGCTGACGCAGGAGGATCCCCATGAATTTCAGGCCGGCCTGATCTATACAGCGGGACCCTGTCTCAGAGTAAATAAAGTCAGAGGGGTCACTGGTGGCCAGGCCCAAAGGCCCTGCTGCTTTCTCCCCCGGGCACCCAGTGCCACCAGCCTGAGATGCTGGAGGGGCTGCTGCTGGGGTCTGTCCTTGAGCCCCCTCAGCCCCGCTCCCCGTTCAGCACCTTGAGCTGAAGCATTTTGCTTTAGGGAAATGAAAAGCAGACTCAGCCTTCCTCCTGGGCCTATTCCTGGCAGAAAGGAGGTGCTCGTGGGGGAGGAGGGGCAGGGCCCTGGGCGTCTCCACCTGGGGTGTGGGGAGGTCGCCTGGGTCAGATCAGTGCCCAGGGGAAGGGGGTGAGCTCCTAGCCCAGCTCTGTCCTGCGTCTGCCTCCTCAGAGCTGCCACATTCTCTGTCCACAGCTCCAGAGCACAGCGGAGTGTGGTGCCACAGGGACACATCTGGAAACCTAGCCTCCTGGGAGACTGAGGCAAGGGGAGAGCAAGTTCAAGGCCAGCCTAGGCAGTTTAGCAAAATCCTGTCTCAAAATAAAATAAAAAGGCCTGGGGATGTAATTCAGTGGTAGTGTGCTAGCCTAGCATGCGTGAGGCACTGCACAAAGAAAAAAGAAAACAAAATCTAGGCATGATGGCACATGGCCAGCACTCTGGGAGGCTGAGGCAGGAGGACTGCAAATTCCTGCCCACCCTGGGCAATTTGGCAACCCTGACTCCATATAAAAAATACAAAAGGGCTGCGGATGGAGCTCAGTGGGAAGCCCTGGGTTCAGTCAGTACTGCAAAACACACAAGACCCCCTCCAGAGGACCCCTGTACTCTGTTGTGGACATGAGGGCTCAGCCTTCAGAGGAGGCCGGCCTGCTTGTCTGCTGCATAAGCCTGGGGGGAAAGGGGGTGAGAGGTGGCGTTGGGATCACTGTGAGCTTTGTTCTCTGGGTACCCCGTGCAGCCTGCTGGGCGGGCTCTGCGGAGCTGGGCAACATGGCCTCAGCGTGGGGCAGTCGGGAAGGGGGCGTCCATGGAGACACTGGGGCTGTGCGGACGGACGGACGGGCCCAGGCCAGAGGCCGGGAGCCCAGGGCCCTGCTCTCACTGTGGGCCCCACTGCTCTGCCCAGGGTCCCCACTCCCACCCTTCCTTCATCCGCCACGGATCTGTGGGGGCTGAGGGGGCGTGGCGTGGCCTGGAGACTGCTAGGGAAGGGACATTGGGCGGGGCTCCACCAGGGCCTGGACCCTGAGCCCTGAGCCCCGGCTGGGAGCCGCCAGGCAGGGAGAAGGGAGGGAGGCTGCAGGCCTGGGAATTTCATGCTTGGCTGCAGGCTAGGCTCGGGGGGATGGAAGACCTGGAAGCCGAGGCTGGGAAGGTCACCTGGGCGGAGGAGGGAGGAGGGGGCCTCTTCCGGTGCCTGTAGTGGGACCGGCCTGGGGGCGGGGCCAGGACCCCCAGGACTCCTGCCAGGCTCTGAGGGAGGAAGGCAGCCTGTGCCACCAGGAAGCCACAGCGCCCCGGATGGACCGGAGCCCCGGGCAGCGCCCCAGCTGTCCCCACCGGCCTCCCGTCCCTCCTGGTCCCCATGCCGTCCACACACCCTGAGTTATGTTTGGTGGCCCCGGCTCTTTGCTTTTTCCGGAACATTCCTCCGACCTGGCTTTGCATGCTGTTGGCTTTCCGAGGCGCCCGGCTGGTTGGCTGGTGGGTTTGTCCCTCATGCTGGGTCTGTCCACGTGTGTTCTCCTGACCTGACTCAGGGCAGGGGCACTCGCTCCATGGATGACTCATCCCTCCCCATGGTGGCCATTTAGGGACACATAGTGTTGCACTGTTTTATGACTGCAGAGGCTGGCTTGGACCAAGGACAATCACCTTTTATTTTAATAGTTACGTCTTTTTTTGTTGTTTTGTTTTGGTTTTTGAGACAGGGTCTTGCTTTGTAGCCCAGGGTGGCCTCGAACTCATGGGGATCCTCCTGCTTCAGCCTCCCGAGTGCTGGGACTATAGGTGTGCACCACCATGCCCGCTTTGTCTTTATTGTATATTAGGAAGAACCCACAGACACAAGTCACTGGCTGTGTGCAGGCCATTACCGCTCTGACTGAAGCTGATTAGGCAAATCCATGGGAACAAAACGAGGGGATTTCAAGAAAAGTGCTCATCGGGAGTTGGGACAGTGGGGCGGGGAGGGATATGGCCGTGATGGAGAGGCCAGAGGCTGTTACCCAGGGTTCTGTGTTGGGGACAGCCAGCCAGCCATGCCCCCTCTGCCTTCTGCGGCTTCTGGGGGCTTGGTGGGTAGCCCAGGGGAGGCTGGGGTTGGCGACCGAGGAGACCCCAGCAGGGACTCGGGAGGTGGAGACATCGGACCCAGGTCCCGTGAGACCTGGCCCAGCTCAGCAGTGGCCCTGCCGTGCAGGTCTTCCCCACCAGCTGTGTGCAGGATGCCATCCCTTGCCAAGGTCACACAAGGTCGTGCAGCTCACTGGCGACGCTGTGTGGGAAGCGGGGAGGGGAGCTGTCCAGGGAGGGCCCTGCCCTGCCGTCTCTCAGCTGTGGGGCTCTTGTGCAGGTGCAGAGCAGTGAGCACAGCCCATTCTACAGATGAGGAAACCTCGGCTCTGACAGGGAAGTGGTTTTCCTTCTCTCCATGCTGCCGTGGGAGTCAGACCCAGCTCTTCAGGCACTGGGTGTCCGGGAGCTGCGAGGGGTTCTGCAGTGTGGGCCCCCCAAGTCTGCGTGACCACACATGTTAGAGACCCCGGGCTCGCCGCCATGTCCCCGGAGCAGATTCCGGCTCCTTTGCCACCGGCACGGCCTTCCTGTCCCCCCTCCATTCACTCATTTGTTCCCCACGCGTCCTTCACCCCACACACCTGTGTTGAGCCCCCCGTGTGCCTGGCCGCCCCCACTCTGGGGACCCAGGAGCTTCTGTGCCCCTTGGGATTGAATTCTGGGGACAGCTCCGTGTGTCAGGTGCTATTCTGCCTGCTTTACAAACAGGGAAACCGAGGCACAGGGAGCTCAGGGGCTCCCCTTGGTCACACAGAGGGGAGAAGGGGAGAGGGTGGCCCTAGGGGTGGTTTGATGTCTCCTTTGGTCACTTTAGAGAGAACCGAGGTCTGGCTCCGGCCTGGCCCGACTCAGTGCTTTCAGAGTGGACGTTGGTTTGTTTTTTGCACAGCTTGGTCCGGCTTTGGGGTTGCAGCTCCCCATACAGAAGTGGCTGGGCCCTGGAAGTGCTGGGGGAGGGGGAGGCAGGGGTCGAGGGGCAGAGCAATGGTCCCGCTCAGCCTGGGGACAGGATGGGCCCCCCGACCAGTGAAGCCGGGGTGTCCGGGGCACGGCGGGGGTCTCAGAGGGGGGACAGGAGGACATGGCCAGTGCCACCTCCCTTCACCAGGGCATGTGGTCCTGTCTGCCTGGCCTGGGTGGGCAGGAGGGCTGTGGGGCAGGGGGGCAGGAGGGGCTGCCAGGACCACATCCTGAGCTAAAGGCCGCTCTTGTATTTTCTCTTGCAGTTACGGAGAAGGAGGTGCAGCAGTGGTGAGTAGCTGTGGTCCCCGTGCTGGGGCCAGCGGGGGCTCTGTACTGGCAGAGGGGTAGGGGGGCTGGGTACCCCGAGGGGCCAGTCTGTGCCCTTGGTCTCTGCTTTCAGTGGAACTGGTTGGGGCGTGTGGGTGCTTCCTCTTGTGACCTTGAGAAGCCTCTTTCCCTCTCTGCCTCAGTTGCCTCTTATAAAACAATGGTGTGGACCAGATAGAGGCTGGCAGGTGGGTCTCCTCTGGGCGCCAGCTCTGGTCCTCTGCAGTGGCTGCCTGGCAGCTGTGTAAGGAAGGGTTCTGAGGTTGCAGACTGAGCTCTGTGATGGATTAGTGATGTCTGCCCCAGCTCAGGGATGGGGTGGCTGGCTTGTGTGTCACTGTGACTGGGGCAGTCGGGAGCCGTGTGAGGCCTCTCTCAGCACCCCCAACCTGAGCTTCCCCTTGACAACCTGGGCCACTCTGGTTGTTTTCAGCCTCCCCCTGGCTCCGGGACCTGTGCTGTGTCCCCAGGGCCCAGCTGCCCTTGGTGCTTATGATCTGATTGACTCCCAGGTGCCATCCTGGGGTGCACATGGCCTCTCCCCGCCATGTGTCAGACGAGGAAACTGAGGCTGAGACCCCAGACCTGGGCTCTTACCTCAGTGTGGATATTTGAGTGACAGATGAACGATGTAGCAGAGGCTTCCTGGAGCTGTTAGCAGGCCCAGCATCCCTGAGGAGCCCGGGACACAGCAGAGCAGGGGTCAGTGTCATTGGGAGGCTAATAAGAGACAGACATGGCAAGCCAGGCATGGTGTTGCAGACCTGTAATCCCAGGAGTTGGGAGGTGGAGGCAGGAGGATCACCAAGAGTTCGAGCCCAGCCTGGGCTACATAGTGAGACTCTGTCTCGAAAAATAAAACAAAATGGGCTGGGGATTTAGATCAGTGGTTTCACCACCTGCTGCGCAAATGCAAGGACCTGAGTTCGATCCCTGGTACCAAAAATAAAAAATAAAAATAAAACAAAATATAACAAAACACACACACACAGACAGAGGTGAGCTGTCCCCTCCTCCTGGTGGCCCCATAATTAAGGAGGAGAAGTTTAATTTGGTTCACGGTTTTAGGGTATTCAGTCAATGGCCAGCTGCCTGAAAGGCAGAGAAGCATGGTAGAAGGGCTTAGCAGAGGGAAGCGGTGCATGTCATGGTGACCAGGAAGCAGAAGGAGAGAAGGGAGGAGCCAATGGACCCTTCCAGGTCACAGGCTGGGGACCACTCCACGCAGGCCCCACCTCCTAACATATCTGATGAGTATGGCGCCCCACGTTCCGGTTCCCTTCCAGTGCCCTGCCTCTGACCAAATGAGCCTTCCGGGACATTCTAGATCCAAACCCTAACGCATCCCCAGGCCTCCCAGAAAGGGGTGCTGTCACAGTGGACAGTGACACAGGGGCCCTCCTGACTCCCAGCTGAGTGAAGTGGGACCATGACTGGCGCGGAGCCTTGGTTTCCCCACCTGGACAGTGAGGGTCGCAGTAGTGCGCAGACCCCATGGCTTGGAGCAGAGCCCTGGGTGCGCTCTCTGGTGGTGCTGGGTAGTGAACCTGATGACCACTGTCCCTCCTTTTCTGCACCCTGTGGAGCAGCCTTGAGGCTGAGAAGCCCCGCCTGGCTATGTAGGTGGGAAACTGGGGTCTGAGGTGCTGGCATGGATGGAACACACATTCTGAGCTAGGTGCTGCCCCAGACACTGGGACCCAGCAGAAACCGATGGTTACCGGCCAGGACAGCAGCATGGAGAAAAGGAAACCTGAATCCAAGATGGGCAGGACTTTGGGTTTTTATGGCAGGCTGGGACCTCGGGCCTGTGACACCCACTCCCTACTACAGTGGCTCTTTCCCTAAAGACCCTAGAAAGGAAATAATGACTCTTTCTTCACCAAGAAGTCCTGTGGACTCACTGAATATCCTCTGGTGTCTCGCTGGGCCAGCCCCCCCCCCCCCGGAGAGGCCACTCCCATCAGTGACCCAGACCTAGATGGCTGAACAGTGGCCTCCTTGCCCTCTCTGTCCCCTCCTGTGCTCCTGGCAGACATCAGCAATGAATCACAGATCATAATGCTGTGAGTCCATCTCCTCCAGTGCCCTGGGCAGCTGCTGCCACTCTGAGTGAACCCAGTCAGGGTCCCTTGACTGGCCTGAGCCTTACCCCGTGACCTGGGACTGTAGCACAGGCCTGCAGGGCTAGAGGCTGGGTCCTCAGGCCACTGTCCCCTTTGCCCCTTGCACATGTGACAAGCCAGACAGCACTTGCCACTCTGTCACCCATGACGGCCGCCTCTCCCCTGGAAAAGTTGGGGTTCCAGAACCCAGCCCACCGGGCAGCCAACACATCAGGAGTGGGCCAGGGAAAGAGGAGCACTGGGGTCAGGTGTGGGCATTCGGGGAGAGCTTTTGGGAGAGGAAGCAGGATGGTGGCCTCCTTCTCAGAGTCCCTTTGTGGCCCCCAGTTGGATGGTGGGACTGTCGATTATGGGTGTTTTTTGTCATCTTATATTTTCTGTTTTCCAAATTCCCTGGATAATAACCAAACATCCCAGCAGAATAAGACAAGCAGTGGGTGGCAGCAGAAGGGATCCTGGAGGCGTCTGCAGTGCCAGCTGGCTCATCCCACGAAGGGAGGGTGACAAGGCCACTTCCCGCAATGTCCCCCAGCCCTGTGGGCAGCGCTGCACTGGCTTCTAGAGCAGCACCCTGCGGTGAGCCCTGGGAGTGGCCCCATTTTACAGATGGAGAAACAGGCTGGAGAGAGGGTGGCTCCCGGACCACAGGGCTGTGTGTGGTGTGTGGTCTGCATCCGGCTACTTCCTTCTCCTCTGTGGCCAGCTCCCAGGCCCCATGCTGGCTTCTGGCTCAGGGGAACTCACAGAGCTGAAGCTGTGGAGGAGCAGGAGGAGGCCTCCCGCAGGGCGTTCTGGGAGGGCAGTCGGGGAAGAGATGACAGGGCCCTTGGCCACCGCCACGCCCCTCCCAGCTGTGCCTGCCGGCTCCTGGCAGCCTAGGGTGCTGCTTTGTCCCCCAGCTCCCTGTTCCACCTCTGGCACTGGCACCAGCACCGCAGGAAGCACGCAGCTGCCGCACCGTCCTTGCTGCAGGAGGGAGACACGGGCCTGCTCTCCTGCCGCACCCTGTGCTGTCAGAGCCCAGAGCTCCAGAGCTCCAAGGCAGGCTGGGGCTTGTGGGGCACTGAGCAAGGCAGTGTGGGGGCTGGCGCAGGGCCCGGGAGAACCAGAGCCGCGCAGCAATAGGATCCTAGTGTCCCTGTGAGTGCACACCTGCATTCGCCATTCTGTCCTGGCTGAGCACCTGCTATGTGTCAGGCCAATGCTGGGGCTTTGGGGATGGAGGCGAGAAGGTGGCGCGGGTCTCCCTGGGGACACGGGCTGGGGGAGGTATGGCGACGGGAGGCGGGCTTTGCAGAAGGCAGCCAGGCCTTGGGGTTTTTATGAAGCCACAGATTTCTCTCCCCCACCCTCACCTTACAAAGAAGTGTAAGCCTGTAGCTGCCCGCTCTGGGTTTCCTTGCACACCCTTTCCTGTCTGCAGGAGCAGCCTGCCTTGCCCACGGCGCTGCTGCACTGGCGGCCGTCGAGACTCCCTTCCCAGGGGTCTCCCGTGACTGGTGGCAGGGGCATTGTGCTGATCCTAATGAGGAGACCTCTCTGGCCACTCCCTCCCATTGTGCCCTGGAAGTGCTGGTCTGAAGTTGGGGCCTGGGTGGGGGGCCCCGCTCATCGGTCCCCCAGGGCAGGGCCTGGAGACTCTGTAGCTGGGCCACGATCTCCACCTGAACCCCGACCTGGCCACGCTGTGGAACCAGGCTGCGCCTCGTGTCCTCTCTGCCTCTCTCCCGGCCCGACCTGAGCCAGCAGGGTGGGAAATGAAGTTGGAGGTGCGGGCAACAGCTGGCCCCTGGGAACCCTGTCCCCACTGCCCCATCTCCCTTTCCCGCCACGTGACTGTGTGACGTGCTGAGAACTCCCGTGCTGCAGTGGAACTGGACCGTGCCTGCCTGCGTAGCCCAGGCAGTGGCTCAGGGACACAAGTCAGCCGCAGCACCGTGTGAGGGGCCCCCAGACCCTGCCCAGGGACGGGGTACTGACAGTGGCCCTAGTTTTCGGGACCCAGGTTCTGAGACAGTGATGTGTGGATGAGGACCAAGGGAAAGAGCGGGCAGAGTAGAAGAAACAGCTGCAGGGAGGCCCTGGGCCAGGAGGGGCCTCAGTTTCCCTGTCTCTGAGGCGGGCGTCCTGGGCCTCCCTGCTGGGTCTGTCAGCTAGAGGCTGGGGATGCTGCTAGCCACCATGTAATTCACAGATGTCCCCAGATGTCCCATGTGTGGGGCGCCGTGGGGAAGGATGGCACAGGTCCCGCCCCAGCACGACAGCTTAGGCCTCGAGCCCTGCTGGGCACCTGGCAGCACGTGGGCTGCAGGGCGGAGGCGGAGGGCGGAGGTGGCAGGCGGGCTGGGACCTGCCCCGGGCCGGGAGCAGGGAGTCTGGTCTCCCAGTCACCGGGACGAGGTGCCCGGCACCATCTGTGTTGCGAGGCGAGGTGCTGTGGGAGGGTGCAGCTGTTTGGGGTGGCCCCTCTGCCAGCCCCCAACACGACTTGCACCCCTGAACTACACCGAGGCATGGAGTCTGCGGGGTGAATTAGAGGTCTGGGGGCGACCTGCAGGGGGCAGCTGGGGAGGCACAGCCGGCCTCTCGCCTGCCAGCCCGGGCAGTGCCCGCCTCCCCTCGGGATGAACAATGGGTTACATAATGTTTGGGTACAGAGGCTTTCCTGCCTGCGCGGGGGCGGAGCAGCCTGGCTGCCAGGAGGGGGCTGGGAGGCTGGAGCCTTGGAGCCGAGCCCTGTTTCTGCTGCAGACTTGCTGTGTGACCTTGGGCCATACTCACTCCCTCTCTGGGCCTGTAGCAGCCCATCAGTACACACAGGTGCTTTTCTAAGTG